AGCGACATTATTCACCGGAATTGTTTCAAATTTGGTATTTGATGTTCATAATGGATACTACAGCCTAAGACTGAAAATTGTCTGTGCAGGTCCACCTCTTCGTAAAGCCCCCATATAACGGTACCTCCCGATATTCGGTATTTTAATGATTTTATCGACATTATAACCGATTTTTTTAAGTTTCGCATTTGAATATTGTAATGGCTTATGACAAATGTATCCTACGCAGGTTCATGTCTTCCTATAGACCATAATATAATAGCTACATTCGGTATTTTAAGGATTTTAACAGAATTTTTAACGGATTTTATTGTTTTTGAGAATTACCAAATTCGATCCAAATGGTGGAGGGTATTCGGCCCGGTCGAACTTACAGCTTTTTTACTTGTTTTACCTTAAAAAGTGTAACCCTTACCTTAAAGGTTTGTACCCCCATAGAAACAAGGATGCCAAATAAGGGCAAAAAAATAAAAAAATAAATAAAACAGTCAGGACTATATAAGGCCCTAAAACACTATGCTTTAGAGCAGTTATAGTTTGGATTCAATTCTAAATTGATTTTCACTAAATTTGACGGAGACATTTTTACCTTTTATACCAAATAGCATTGCTATACAGTGCATGATATCACTTCGAGAAGGATTTTATTAAAAAAATATATATCGGAGCAGAGTACCACAAAATGGAAACGTATGTCCCGAATTTTCACTCCAATTTTGCTGATATTAGCCATTATTTGCACAATAAACCTGAAATCGGATTAAGGATATATATGGGAGCTATATCTAAATCTAAGTCGTTCTCGATAGCTATAGCTATATCTGAACCGATTTTCTCTAAATTTGATGTACCTTTTTCTAGACTGAATTCGGTCAGATGTACCAAAATTCGGTCATTAGGACTTATATTGGTCATTTGGTGCACAATTAACCCGAAATCGGGTTTGTCCTTGGGCCAAACAAACATTGTTTGCAAATTTTCATCTCAATCGGATAATAAATGCGACCTGCATTTTTTTCACAAGAATACATGGACGATTGAACAGACGGACTGACATGCATAAATCGACTCAAAAAGTGATTCTATGAAGATACTCAAAAGTAACTATCTGTCTATCTCGCTTCCTTCTCCCTGTTACAAAGAAGTGCACAAAGACATAATACCCTTACCACTATGTGGTGGAGGGTACAAAAGTGGTAAGGACACCGAAAATAGCTTAAATCATATGATAACAAAACGTGATCAGTTTTTGCAAGTATGGCTTCTTCTCAAATTACCAACATTTGCCCAAATTAGTATTTCAAATATGGTTAAAATGTAAAATATACTTGCAATCGGGTCGTACCCTTACATGGGAGTTATAACCCATATCATACCCTGCAAAAGCGATTTAAGAAATCTTGAAAGTTTAGGAAGAATTTCTGGAAGGATAGAAATCCTCTTCTTACTAAATGTGCAACTCTTTCCCCTCTTTTCCACCCTTTGTGTTCGGTATTTCACTGATTGCAGTCCCAATGAATTGTTTATTTTGAGTTCTCACTGGACGAATTATTTTTATATGAAAGAAGTAGGTCGGTCATTTTTTTTTAAATGTGTTTGCTTCTTTCAGCTGAAGCACAATGTAGGTCCTAAAATTGCAAGGTAGATGCAAATTTTAGACATGAAAGATCATTTAATTTTTAATATTATTCATTCCGAATTCAAAACAATGAAATATGTACACTTCAATATAGTATGTCAAATTTAAAAAATTTCACGCCAAAACATTTTTTCATTCACATTTTTATTGGCATATTTTCACGCGATTTTCATTTCTGCCAAGATACCATTCCAAAATTCTATGTATTTTCAAAATCCGTCAAGCCGTTCTTGAGTTTTTTTGTTCCTTTTCTGCCAAGAGATAATTTCGAATTTGTCTGAATCGTTAAAATCATGTCAGCGGTTCTTGAGTTATAAGCGTAGTAACTAACACAACTTTCTTTTATATATATGTATAATAATTTTGTTAAAAAATGTCCTAATTTATAAATAACAATCCCCAACGCATCTGTTCATATACTTTTAATTTAACTAGCACGAAGCTACTTCATTTTGACATTATATGTGCCTATTTAACTTCGCTTGCTGTAACTGTTCAAATATCCCCAAACTATGGCATTGTTGTTGGTACAACCGTTTTTTGTATGAAATGTTCTCTTTGTTTGCTATTTCAATAATGAAGAATAACTTTTATTTTCCTGTACTTTGTTTGCAGTAAACTCTGCTAGGTAATGTTCCTTTTTTTTCGTATATGGTAGTTTTGGTTAGTTAAAAAAAAACACCCCAAAGCTGGAACAAAAAATTTGCACCAACTATTTAAAGTTAAAATTATTTTCGTTCAGTTTTATATTTTGTTAAAGTTTAATGCAAAGGTTTGATTCTGTTAGCAATATTTATATAATCATGATGTTGTCATGGTGATCACAATTCAGTATTTTAAGTTAGATTACGAACCCTAGTTATATCTTTCTGAATTTATGTGTATGATATATGTATGAAAAACATTTTGTACCTACTGTTTGAGAATGAGGACACCTCTTGCATTTTGAGCATTTATTTGGTTTTTAGTGAAATTATAATTAAAATTTTGTTATTGAATGCATTACTTATTTGCCATTCAAAACAATCATTGCCTTTACATTAAAGTATTGTTAGCATAATAACATATATTTCATTACTTTAACAGATGCTTTTCGTCCAAAATAATTTAACGTTTCACAGTGATACCATCGGAGCTCCACATAACAGTTAAAATTCTTTATGGGAGAATTTAAGCATACACGCTATGATTATAATTACTATTTAAAGTTCAAAGGACTAAATATGCGGAAGCATTTGTATCTTTTAAATTCGGACTTGTATTGCCCATTGGGTCCAAAATTAATTTAAAATCAGATAAAGATATATTGGAGCTATATCCAAATCTGAACCGATCTCGATAAAATTTAGCAAAGGTATTTCTGAGCTGCATTTGATATATTTCCCCAAATATTGTTGTTAAAGAGTGCATATTACGGCTGCGGAGGACAAAAATAACAAATCGGATGAACAATATATATGGGAGCTATAGCTATATCTGAACCGATTTCGATCAAATTCGGCATACTTATTTTCAAGCCTAATTTGGTTGTATGTGCAAATTTGGTGCACAATAAAAGGCAAATCGGACGAAGATATACATGGGAGCTACATCTAAATTTTTACCGACTATCTCCAATTTCAATAGGGTTCGTCCTTGGGCCAAACAAATGTTGTTTGGAAAATTTCATCTCAATCTGATAATAAATGCGACCTACATTTTGCTCACAAGAATACATGGACAGACGGGCTGGCATGCATAAATCAACTCAGAAAGTGATTCTATGGAGATCCTTAAAAGTAACAATGGGTCTATCTCGCTTCCTTCGCCTTGTTACAAACAAATGCACAGAGACATAATACCGTTACCACTATGTGGTGTAGGGTATAAAAACATCATTATTGACAATATCAATATATGCTACTGCAGACTAACGTGGCGGAACCCGAGTGGCAGTAGAAGTATAAATGACAACACTGTGACAATCATTTCATTTTTCATAAATACATTTGATAATGTATTTCGCTATGTGTCCATTGACGATTGTCGTTGCACATGCATTATTCCGCGATGTAAAAGGGATGCGGGATGTGGTACTTAACAATGATTCCAAACAGATGTCAACATATGTCATCCATTAGATGTGCTAATGTGCAACACAACATTACATTATTGCATAAAAAAGAGAGATGCATAGAGATCCTGATCCTAAGATCACGTATGTAGCTGAATTCGCCCCGATCTATCAATTAATGGAAATGTACGCTTCGCTGAAACGCTTCTGATGATATTTCGATATTTTGCTAAGGTATGAAAGTGAATTATTAAACAAAACAAAAAAATCTTATAAAAAATTAAGACTGTGTATCTGTGTATGCTTCCTTCATTACTTACCACTTCAACAGGAACTCCTTCGCGTGGAGTATCACTACTCCGTTCTGTAAAACGACCCACGATACCCTACCCGACTATATGATACCCTACACCACTATTCGTATTTAGTAGAACTCACGTAACAAATAAGTTTATATTGGTAAGTTACGCATATATTTAAGCGAAGTAATGCTGTGTAGTGCATAATATGACTTCGATAACGATTATATTTATAAATCGATATACCGGTCCGAGTTTCACAAAATGGTAAATTTCGGTTGAATATGAAAAAATCTATCCAATTTGGATGATATTACATATATTTTGAGCAATAACCGTAAAATCGGATGAAGATGCATACCGAAGCTATATCTTAATCTAAACCGATCTCGACAAAATTTGGCATACGTATTTTCGAGCGGTTTCTGATGCCCGGTAACCAATATCATTCTTGTGGAGTGCATAATACGCATGTGGGGGACTTACAACTCTAAATCCGATGAAACAAATACATATATGAGAGCTATAGCTATGTCTGAAACGATTTTCCCCAAATTTCATCTACTTGCTGAAATTGGTCGGATGTACTAAAATGCAGGTCATTTGGACTGATATTGGCAATTTGGTGCTGTTGGCCGAAATCGGTTGAAGATATATGTATATGGGAAATATATCTAAATTTGAACCGATTCTCACCAAACAAACAAATATTTTTTTGCGAAATTTCATCTAAATAGGATAATAAGTGCGACCTGAATTTGGTCGGAGGGACTGACACGCATAAATCGACACAGAAAGTGATTCTATGAAGATCCTCAAAAGTAAACATGAGTCTATCTCGTTTCCTTTTCCATGATACAAACAAATGCACAAAGATATAATGTCCTTGCCACTATGTGGTGCAGGGTATAAAAACATAGAATATGGTATTGAAATTTTCCCTGGGATTTGAAAATATAATAGAAATATTGAAACATGATATAAGTAGGCTCAGAAATTTTCAAAAAAAAAAAACCACAAATTATAATACTATTTTGCATTTCAATTTCGAAATTCATTAAAGCGTTAAAAACGAATGTATCCAATGTTTTAAAATTGACACATTCATTGCCATAGAACTGCAAGGCTGAAACTTGTTGTCTGAATGAAAACCCATACGCGGTAGCTGTTGAGCAACCCTCTAATATCATCTGGAATTTGGCCCAAACGTAAATGGCTTAAGTTTTCAATGAAAAACAGTTTGTCAATGTTCATTTGAAATTTGTTTTCGTTTGAAATTTGTTTTCATTTGGAATTTGTTTTGTTTTTGACCAACAGCTGCTTTATTCTGTCGGGAAAGGTATTGGGAAAGAATACAATGACATAAAAAGTGCAATTGCTAGAGGGGACTGAAAAATAATTAACTGAAAATGGTGAAACTGGACTATTCCGGAAGCAGTTCGATGTTTGGTGGGACTAAAAGGCCTTTCAAATGTACATATGGTAAGAATATCTCTTAATAAGTAATTAAGGCGTAGGGTTCGGCCGGACAATCATTAGAAAATATGTCCGAATGAACCCGTTACTTCCAACACAATTTTTATTTGCCAGCAAACAAATTGCCAAGACGGTTGACAAAATACCGAATATTTCACCGCTCTCAATTACGATAGCTATACCGTAACATAAACCAGTATAAGCCACTTCGTGGTACAATGTTAAAAATCTATTGAAAATTCGAAATTGCAAATATGTAACAGTGGTTTAAAATTTATATAACTAAAACGTTATGTAGGGGTTATATGAAACGTCCAATTTCGTAATATATTTAACTCAGCTGACGTTCTTAACGGAATCTCCATATATTAAATTATAACAGGACACAATAGGAAATATTAATTTATGCAAGGGCAACCTAAATAAACTGTTCTTGAAACTACAATATTTTTATATCACCATGGTATATGGCGTTATATCTTTGTGCATTTTTTCGTAACAGCAACTTTTTTTCAAATTGGTGATTTGGATTTAGCTCCTGCAGATCTTTTTCTTTGTCATATTCTACTCTAAGAGGATGGGGTTTCAGTAGGAAATTGGTCAATTTTAGAAAAGGGAACATTTCTCTGTAGAAATCCATAACCTTTTCACTTATTATTTTTTCCCCGAATTTACCAATGCCCTTATATATCAATACTAAAACCTTGAAACTTTATTCGATGCATTAAGATCTTACAATGACATTGCTTACTTCTTCCTTTGCTCTCAGTCAAATTAATTCCTTGGTGTGTTAACAAATTCACCTTATTTTATTCTTCAACTTCCTTTTATCTTCTTAAAAATGGGAAATCATGAGAAAAAAATACAAAAACATTGCCACTCAGATTAGTCAAGCCACCCATCATCAGAGTTCGGATATAAAGTCTTCATTATCATCATGTGAGTGCTGAGTGGTATCCAACAGTTTCATTTCAAACAGTCCTTACGAGTCTTAAACATAGCATGTTTATTGTTTTTCCCTCATCATCGTGTCAGAAGAAGTAATTAGCGGTTAGTGATAGTGGAGTGTATTTTCACACTACAAACAGCTTTCCTAACTTTGGAGTGTAAAAAGTGTCCAGAATTTCAATTAGCTACAATATTGCAGCTACATTCCACCATTTGGAAGTAACTTAAAAATTTTCAAAAAAAAAAAAAATAAAAAATCAGGCGGAAAGTACCGCTCAAATGAAAACAGTTATGTGGGGGCATTACGAAGACGTTGTCCCTGCATAAGTAGTTTGTGTCATAGGCTGTAATAAATGTTCCGAACTTTAAACACGAAATTTGAAACAATTCCGGCTAATAATGTCGCAAAAAATCATGAAAATGCCCAATATCTGGGGGTACCTTTATCTGGGCGCTATACTAAACCGTGGAGCTACCCAGATGATTCTCTTCTAGGGGATAAAGTACTCAGAAGAATCCTCTTGTGTGGATTTTAAGACAATTCCATTGAAAAATTTTACTGAAATCATCAAAATACCGAATATCGGGGGATACCGTTATATGGGGGCTACCGTTATCGTGGGACTATATAGACAATTCTCCTTCAGGGTGTAAAGTACTCACAAGGATCTCCTTGTGTGGTATTTCAGACTATTCCATTGCAAAATGTGGCTAAAATCATCAAAATACCGAATATCGTTATATAAGTTCTATATGATATGGTGGGCCTATATAGACAACTAGCTGAAACCGGTGCACTTCGCTACCCCTTTTAATTTTATATGCATTCAACATTTTATGTACGAATACTTGTTGGTTAAAAAAATAAGAAAAATTTCAAAAAATATAATTATTGTAATACTTTAAGGCGTAAACAATCACATAGCTCGGTCTACCAAAGCGTGAACATGCAGGTACAGCTGACCATGAGGAAAGCAGGAATATGCCAAATGTAGTCCGAAGGGTTTGTCCTTCGGATTTATTCGGTGGCATTTCTGTTGAAATTAGAGAAATCGAGGTAGGAACATACTTTCCCGTAATAATCGTATCCTCAATTAAATTGTTGTGTAGTTTTTTACTGTTAGATTAATACTATTGCAAAGGCGTTGTGGGTCAACTCTTCTTAATAAAATCATATGCCAATCTGAACCGATTTTAACATAATTTGACAAAACTTACTTTTACAACAAATTCCGTCACATCTTCCATATTTCATTGAAATTGGAGGTACATACCGTGTTTGGTACATCAAATATGTGAAATCGGCCAAGAATATATATGGGAGCTATATACAAATCTGAACCTATTTCAATATAATTGGACAAATTTATTTTCTGATAAAATCCCGTCACACATTTCAAATTCCATTGGAATCGAACATACATATTGTGTTTGGGGCACCAAATAAACGAAAACGGTCGAAAATATATATGGAAGCTATATCCAAATCAGTACCGATTTCAAAATAATTTGGCAAAATTTATTTTTTAAAAAATTCCGTCTCTTATTCCAAATTACATTGGAATCCAACGTACATATCGTGTTTGGTGTATCAAAAAAAAAAAAAATAAATAAACAAATAAATAAATAAATAAATAAAAAATACGAAATCGGTCGAAAATATATGTGGGAGCTCTATATTTAAATCTGAACCGATTTGAATATAATTACACAAATTTATTGTTGTACCAAATTTAGTCACCCATGCCGAATTTCATTGGAATCGAACATACATATTGTGTTTGGGGCACCAAATAAACGAAAACGGTCGAAAATATATATGGGAGCTATATCCAAAGCTGTGCCGATTTCAACATAATTTGGCAAGCACATTTTTTAGACAAATTTCATCAAACATTCCAAATTTCATAGAAATGTGGCTTACACAGCGTGTTCAATTCATAAGATACTTGAAATCGGTCGAAAATATATATTGGAGCTATATGTAAATCTAAACCGATTTCAATATAATTTGGCAAATTTATTTTTGTTCCAAAATCCGCTATTAATTGCAAATTTGAAGACTGTATCTGTAATCGAACAATAGATATATACATACAAAATCTAAATTTTTGGGAGGTACCTCCGATTCTGATGCTATATCTCCAGTTCCAAATGGAATTTCAAAAATTTATATTGCCTATGTTACTTTCAGGCAATGTTGTAGTATACATGGACATTTTCAGGAAAATCTGTGCAGCGGTTTTCGATTTCATAAATTACAAACAAACAAGCAAGCAAGCAAACATACAAACATTTTCCTTTTTTTATAGATATAGAAGAAATTTTTCTTATTTTCGATAGAATTGTCTTATGTTCGATATTTCCTGTGGCAGGTATATAACGGTTCCTCCAGGTTTTTAATTTTTTTCTCTTGGGATGGCAATTGTCTGCATTGGTCCACATTTTTCTATAACCGCCCACAATATTCGTGAATTAGATTAATTTAGGCAATATTTCCAAAATTGAGCAATGAATATTTTTAAAGGTTTTTTACCTGGAGGACAATAAAAGTTCGGCCAGTCGAATTATTTTATCTCATTATTCCCGCACCTTGGAGAAAGTATTATTCAATAATAATAGTGTTGAGGCAGGTAAAAGATGAACCATGTGTTATGCCAAGTTATCAAATATAGTTCCTTCTTATTTGATATAAATGGCACTCCAACCGTGTTACAAATCGGATTCCCATATTTTTCTTCAAGTAGTTTCTCTCTTCCTGTATAGCTTTCTATTGGCATTTAAAGTAGCAGCATTGTCTGCGTTAACTTTACAATGCAATGGATAAATTGTGAAACATTGAATTTTTCACATAAATGATTGGATATACCCTACTGTTTACATCAATATTGGGAGTTTTTTTTTTCGATTTTTGTTCCGAAAAACTAAGAAAAATGCTTCCAGGAAGAAGTCAATTTGTTAGAATTTGAGATAGTTTCAAGGCTATTCAAATTGCTGGGAATAATTGTGAATTCTTGTACATCTTGATATTTAGATTTAGAGCAAGCAAAGATGATATGTATAGGATAATGGAACAAAAATAGCATTAAACCTTTTCGTGCTTTGCCTTAAACAAAATACAAGAAAAGCCATAATACACACTGCATTACAATCATATTCGGTACGTGATATCAAATACAGCCTATAAATGTCTTTGCCAAATTTAGTAAACAAGTAAGCAAAGGCTATAGTCGTGCGGGGCCGACTATGTTATACCCTACAACACTACAATATGTTAGAAGCCCTCTTATGTCCAAATCCGTATTGGTGGATTTCGCTTTGAAATTTGGATTTTGACTAGGGACATTTGCCCAATATTTATGCACTCCGTCGGGCTGTTAGTTGTTGTAGTCCATTTTACAGCTAAATATAATCCAATGGTCATCCAAAATGCTAGAATTCTACCCTGTCCTTAACTCTCTCCACAGGCGTGTTGATTGGCTTCAATTGTGTGATCGGAAAAACATTTCTGTTTTTGGTTAATTTGAACCCCTAAATATTTTGCAATCATCTCCAAAAGCAAGAAGCCCCTCTATATGTCCAAATTTAGACTCATATATAAGATGTGCTTGTCTACGATATTCGGCTATATTCGTTAACGAAATCAGCATAAAAAAGCCAGAAGTCCGCCTTTTGTTTATTTCGTAAGTATTGCTGGTATTTTTTAACACACAATTAGTGGTCCAAAATTTCGTGTCCTTTGGTTTCTATTTGTGACCTTTATAACGGCTGTAAAACCAGGAAAATATTTAGTTGTTGGTCTATTTCAACCCCTAATATATTGCGGACATCTTTGAAAATAATAGGCCTAGCTCTTTTGAGTCCAACCCCACCCTTGTGAAAATTTTCGTGAGGATCGGACGATATTTGCAATCCTTATATAATATACCCTACCTGTGTTGTAAGGTAAAACCAGTAAGGAAAGCTCAAAACTCGGGCGGGGCCGACTATATGATACCCTACACCACTATGCATATTTAGTAGAGCTCTCGTAAAAAGGTTTATATTCTTCTTTTTAT